GGGGGGGGGGGGCAAGGGTGTGTTTTACCCAATAATAAGGTATCGTGGTTTTTATTCTTTCTACTCCAGCCCTCTGTCTTCTGAACATCTCAGTAGAATTTCATAGTTGACAATTCACAGCATATACAAGAGCTAAATATCTGACTGAGCAGAGACTTTTTACAAGCTCAAGAGATGTGCAAAACAAAACTCTTCCAGGAGATCAGACTAAGGCAGAACTAGGCCGGCTCGTCCTGGCCTTCTAGACCCCTGTCTCTCAAATGTCAGAGCATCAGGCTCAAAGCGGGGCTGACAGCAAGAGATGGCCGGCCTCCTCCCCAGATTTTCCGATTAAGTAGGTCTGCCCTGAGACTTAAGAGCTTGTATTTCCAACCATTTCTCAGGTAATACTGATCTTCCTGTTTCAAAAATCATTCTTTGAAAACCAGTGTCTCAAACAACTAAGAGGAGGGATCTGGTCTTGGATCAGTTAACTGGAGGTGGCTTGATCAGAAGAGGCTTAGTTTTGAAGCTGAACCAAGTAATTTTCTGGGTCAGTATTTCTTAAGGCTCATAGACACACAGGGAGGCTTCTCGCGATGAACGCCCCGCTCCAGGAACTCCCTGCTAGCGAGTGCTGTTGGTTATACCCAGGGCAGCCTCTACCTTTTCCACCTGATACTAAAGTAACCCTAGTAAATCAGGTGTCCCCACTTATCTGCAAGAAGAAACTTTTGGTTACTTGACCTTTCAGCAAAGTACAAAGTATTAATCTTGGCTTTTAACAGCTACATTTTGATCAAGTGAACCCCACCACTTACTTAATTGATAGGGACACTATATGCTCTTTAGGGGACAGGAACTATCCTAAATGCTTGATAACACACTTGAGTCTCATGAAAACCTAATAAGGTGAGCATTCATCCCCAATTTCCAGGATCTGGGACATATAGAGGTCAAATAACTTACCCTGTGAAACAAAGCAAGTGTGTGGAGCCTCTACGAGAAACTGCTTTGATAAGCCGGTATCACAGGTCAGATAACGGTAGAGCTGGAATGTAGCTCCAACTCCAGGCCTGTGCTCTTGGCTCCATGTTGTCCTGAAAGCACTCAGCTCTCAGGGGGACCATTTCCAGTGGCACAGATCCCGCCTGACCGGTTTCTGAGGCTGGCCCGTCTGCCTGATGCTGGGCGCTGCGGCTGAGCTAGATGTCTGGACGCAAAGGTCTGTCACTGTCGGCTGCCTTCTACAGTGCTGAGCCTACGTGTCTCAAAGGGAAGAGCCACGGTCTTTGATTGCAGGGGACATAGCGGTTAACTCAGTCATGAGACACCTTCATTACTGAGTATACCTGCAGTTTTCCTTGGCAACCTTGAATAGATAAAACATTTTAATTGTGTTTAATCTAAAATAGTACTTTCCTGTGACTAACTGGAGGCTGTTTTTTATATCCCATGTGTATTAGCAAATCTCAATTTTCAGGTTATATGGTAATTAGCAATAGTATGTTTTTAGGTTTTATAAGATTTGCAGTTGAAAAAGATTCACAAACCCAAATTGTTCCCAAGTATTTTAGTAGCTGAATAGAAGAGCTGTTTTAAAGTTAAATGGAAATTTTTGTGCTCACCACATTTCAAGTGTCTGTCAATGTATCTGGTAGAAGCTAAGAACACTGTGACTAGAGTTCACTCAAATCAGACATGTGCTGGATGTGGCATGAGACAGGTGTTTGACTAGGTACGGGGACTGAAACAGTCCAGGGAAACTGCCCACAACTGAGGCAGACAAATGTCAGGCAATAAGTGACAGGGGGATGGCCAAGTCATGTTTGCTGCTTCCCATGAGAATCCAAATAGACGTGGCCACGAGCTCCTGGTTCACCCTCTGAAAGGAAGCCAGTGTGTCGGGTCCTCAAAACGAACTCTTCTGAAAAGCAGGGGTCTCGGTACCCACAGCCCAGGGAAAGCGGTTCTGGCAGAGGGCCTGGCAGGTCATTTCCTCAGCAACACTGTCATTTTTTTTCTTTTCAGGGGAGGGTGGTAACACCTCTGTCAAATCTGGGTCCAACTGGAGAAACATAAGCCTTGACCAAGACCCTGCCGGGTTCTCTAGTGGGGCTGCCCAGGCTGACTGGATCAGTGCTCCGTGAACCTCCCACGGGCTGGAGGCTTATCTGGTTTTCTACCCAGGGATCCATGGAACTTGGCTTCTCAAGAGGGAGAGGGGAATATTCCAGGTAGAAGTTATCACAGTTCACCTGTGAATTGAAGAGCCCCCAGCCAAAACTACCTGCGGGGGCCGAATCACTCTTGTGAAGTGAAATGTCGTTGGCCCATGAACTTGAGCTGCTGCTCCTTAGTGTACACGTCGCGCAGCTGAGCTGGAAACTCGCGTATGGCCGGAGGCCCGGCTTAGACTCGCACTGCTCCCTGGCGTTTGCCTCGCACAGCTGGTCTCCAGTCTCTTCTAGGCGACTCTCCCCACCCGAGCTCTTCCCTCCCTCCACGGTACCCTCCTGATGTAATGAAACTGATTTCTAGTTAACAGCTCTACCGTCTGCCGGAAAGGTGGTTCAAATCCAACCTGACTAACGTAATTCATTCCTGTATATTTTGGGTTTTTTGTGGATAAAATTGCTGGTTTTGTTTCTTCCTTCGTGTGCCTGCGCTGATTTACCTGGGATCCATGTGACAGCGCAGCCTCCTCTGCTGATGCGGAGTGGAGCCTCCCGGCTCAGCGCTGGCGGCCTAGGTCCCCGCAGTGTCCTCGCTCCCTCGGGATGCGCCCCGGCCCTGTTCCCGGCTCAGCACCCAGCTCTCGGGGCATATCCCTTTCTGTATCAACTTGAGGAAGAACGATGCATGCGGCTGACTGACCTTGAGGACGTGTGTCTGAGGAGCTCCCTGCTCTTGGCAGTTCCCAGGTTCCAGACCCAGGTGAGGAGCGGCTGCCCTCTGTCGAAGGCACTGCCCTGGAGGCATTGCCCTCCGGCTTTCAGTGCTGGAGTCTGGCGTTCCGATTTCTGTTCTTCTGTAGCGTGTGTCCTTGGGTATTTTGTATGCTTCAGACTTAGAATATTCTCTATCAGCATTCTAAGTACTCTTGGTTTTCTAAGTTTTTTACTTGTACCCGATTGATAGAAAAAATTCCAGTCTAGGGGTATGGCTTTCAATTTGGGGGAAAGTTCTGGTTGACTCTCTCCTGCCCGTTTCAGAATTCTTCTCTGGCTATTAAACCACCTACTCAGTGCTTTCGTTTTCACCTTTTGTGTATCTTTAGGTTCTACTTCTCCTAGGTCTTGTTCTTTTTAAAAAATATTTCAATCATAATTTTAAATTCTGTCCTTTTAATATAGTGTCCTCCTGTCATTTAGAAGCACTCTCAGAAGGTCACATCCTCGCGGGTTATATATGACCTACGTGAGATGAAATGCACGGGACCAGCGCTGAGGAGAGGAGCATGTGGGCCTGCGCCCACCTGGAGTGAGAGCCTCAGGGACCTAGGCTCCCTCCCCCTCGTTTCCAGGTGAATGCTCTTAGTCGCCTCTTTGCTTCCTTGGTTCTCCTTTAGTGTGAGCACATGACTTACCGAGACTTGTAGAAACATTCTATTACTTTTCATGTAAATACACGTCTTGCTTGTCCTGCACTTTCTCCTCAGACCGCTCCTCTTTATTGTTAGTATTCTTCAAATGTCAGTCTCATCCGTGCACACGAGGAGGTAAAAAGCCAACTGGGAGGAAGCTCTGTGGATGTGGAGCTTGTGGGCTCTACCAATCACCACAAACTGTCAGTGCGAATACTTCTCCCCCTGTTCAATGGAGCTACTTGTTCAATGGAGCTACATATATGTCTCCAACACTAAATTCTGTCTTCCGGGGGCCCAACACCCCTCAGTTCCAAGAACCTCTGGCCCCAGGTTAACCGGGCCACTGCCAGGATGAATCTCCGGGTCACCTGACAAAGAGATTAGGTGTTTAACAGCCTCTGACAATTGTTTTACTTTCTTATTGAGTCAGCATATCAAGTACACTGATGCTGATTGTACTTGCTGAATGTTTATGTATGCACACACCTCCTAAGCACCACCTAGACCCAGATGGGACATGTGAGGCACCCCCAGAAAGTTTCTTTATCCCTGTTCCCAGTCAGCACCTCCAGGAGGCAAGACCCATTGTGGGTTCCATCACCGTAGGCCAGTTGGACTTGGTCTTGAAGCAAGCCTGTAATGCTATCAACCTCCCTCTTATTATTCCTTTGGCTGCATCCCATAGGTTTTGGCATGTCACTTGTCTCTATGCATTTTTTGATCTCTCCTTTTATTTCTTCTGTAGCCCAATCATTCCCTAGTAGCCTGTTGTTTAATCTCCAAATAGTTATTGTGTTTCCCTCTATCTTCTTCCAGTTGGTTTCCAATTTCAAAGCATTGTGGTTGGAGAAAATGCTTGGCACAATTTCAATCTTCTTAAATTTGTGGAGGATAGACATGGATTATCTTTGAGAATGTTCCATGTGCACTGGGAGAATGTATAACCTGGTAAAGTCTTTGTAAATGTCAACTAATCCATTGGGGCTAAAGTATCATTTAAAGCTGATATGTCCTTATTGATTTTCTGTTTTTATTATCTATCCG